TTTAGACAGCCCATTACTGACATGTGATGCAGAACCAATTGCTGATTTGGCCCCTCGTGTTTTCAAGTCTCAGTTATGTGTGCAGACATCAGTTTGGTTTCACCCGCAGGTGCTTCAGATATCTGCTTCGATCCGCCGCTAAATTGTGTTCCTCCAAAAATCCAATCCAACAGCCGACCAGAACGAGATATAAAAGGGGGGGGGGGGGGGGTGACGGAGAAAGACCTGAAGACTGTAACGCAGCTGATCCCCATCCTGTCACACACTCTTTCCTTCCCAGAGGCCGACATTTTCATGGACTAACTTCACATGTGGGAGTTAAGTCGATTTAAATCTGCGTTCAGCTCCTTAATTTGAGCTCAACCTCCGCACCTGAAAACATTTTTTTATAGCGTTCCACCTGTGGGCAGTGGCACACGTATCTTTTCCTTTTGATATTGTCTTGTTTACAAATTCATTGCTGAGAAATTCAATTCAAATTCAAAGGTTTTATTGTCATCAAGCTACAGAGTAGAAATGGCAATGAAATTATTCTTACCTGAGCTCCTCCCACAATGCAACATATATAATAAAATACAAAAATTCAAAATAAAAAATTGTGCAAAAAGTCTATATACATGTAAATAGAATATGATTTGTACAAGAACAGAGAAAGGTCACATCGGGGTTATTCCTGCATCAAAAAACAGTATTTTCTTTTATATAAATTCATAAAAATCACTCCTCATTTCAATAGTACTTACCACATGGATTTACTCATCTTTACAAAAACAATTATTGATGGGATAATACCAGGATTACAGTTTATTTATTAGTTGGTTTTTTTAAAGGCTCTTTTTCTACTGTCCCAATAGCTCTCATACTTTCACCTCATTCATTTCTTCTTTTTATTTTAAATATATGTATTGCATTTTGACAGGGTAACACAATCAAGAAGGATCATCATACCAATATGTACCCCCTTTTTTCACTTATCCCAAACACAGAACACATTCTCCACATATGCAATCAAATTAAATAAATAAAGGTCAAGAAATAAAAAAATTAAATAAATCCCAAAAATAAATAAATGATAAAGAAAAAAGACAGCACAACATTAGAAGGACAATACAGATGTGTACACAACAATTACATACAGGATTGTTAGACATTGTAAACTATGTGGAAATATGCCTTGAAATCTCCGAATGAGACCACATCGGAGGATTTCTTGCAGAACCCATTACCAAGATCTAGACATTGAACCCTCCTTCACGGCATCTTAATGTGTGTATACTCTGTTTTTCTTGTGTGGAACATTGTTGGGTTGGGGTCTGAGGAGAAAACATTTCTAAATGGTCCCAGTTTGGAGCGTCTCCAGAGGTTACCTGGACCCTCCAGCCAGCCCTCTGTTATACTTACCTCTGCAAAATGTAGAAAACGGCTCTTCCAGGGGGGGGGGGGGACTGCTAAAGCAAAACTATCCAGAGATGATATTCCCAGGGTTCTGATGCTGATTGCTACAGTAACTAGCTCCCTACAGTGCGTTCAAACACTATCCAGTAGAGAACTTAAATGGTTGGCACATCATAAACAACGGACTATTTTTAGCTTTATGTGTTGTTTTGTGTTCCTCTGTAGACTGTTTGACCCCACAGGTCGTTAGCAATGATACGCCATTAGGTCATGTGACAATAGATATAAGCATAAAGTACAAAAGAAGCAGATGGTTGCACTTTGGTTGTTGAGTGTAATCACTGCAGAGTTGCCCGAAGGCGTGTGTCCTTGAAAGGAGAACGAAACGCAGTGATAAGATAATACCGTTCTTCAATACCTTCGGAACCACAGATGGCAAAAGTACACACATCCTTTACTCAAGTAGAAGTACAGATACTCGTGTTTAAAATACTCTGGTAAAAGTACTGACTAAACTTCTTTACTCAAGTAAAAGTAAATAAGTATGGGCTTTGAAATGATAGTTAAAGGTGGGGTAGGTAAGTTTGAGAAACCGGCTCGAGATACACTTTTTGTTATATTCCATGGAATGCTCTTAACATCCCGATAGCAATGAATATCTGAAGTGCTTTGACAATCATTTTAGCTATAAATAACTGGATGGCCTACCTGCCTGTCAGCCTTCAATCTGTGCACAAACTGATCTCGTGCCCTCATTGGTCATGTGCGCGTTCGTGTGTGTTGGAGGAGGGGCTCTGTGAGGAAGTGGCAGATTTTTTCCCGCCGTGTATTTTCAAATTCTAGCGCACTCGAGCTGGTTTCTCCAAAATTACCTACCCCACCTTTAAAGGGGACCTATCATGCAAAATGCACTTTTGTACGTCTTTTATACATGAATATGTCCCCGGTGTGTCAGGGAACTCACCAAGTGTTAGAAAACACAACCCTCTCTCTTTTCCTCCATACCCAAATCTCTAAAAACGGGGCTGCAACGGATCTGATACAGACTTATACAGATTTGAAATTGTTCTGACGTCAGAAACGAGGTGCTCCGCCTATATGGGCAACTCTCCACCTATCAGGGGAATGGGGGGTTGCGTGGCATGGTAACAGCATGGTAACAGCATGGTAACAGCATGGTAACATGATGCTCGTGCCTCGCCCCCCTCCTTTGCAGAGGGGCGAGGTCAGCTGCAGCTCATTTGCCACAGAATCAGCCCTTGTGAAGACAGGGCTGGAATAGAGCAAATAGAGCGAAATGAGGCATGGCTAAAATGCATGATCTGTTTGGTATTTTGAAAAATAAACTTCACAGACATGTTTTATATTGGCATGGCCCTACAATATATTATTCAAATATAGCATGATAGGTGCACTTTAAGTAAAAAGTACCCATAACTAGCAGCTGTTTTAAAGAGTACCTGACCTCCCTTTATATTAATAGAACAATAATGTCATTGTTAGCTAATGAATGTTTCCATGCTGAACAACGGCAACATGACAACGTTTCCATTGGTCCCTCTTCTTTAGAGAAGACCAGGAAATGATGGATATACGGATCGTGTTCAAATCAATAGGCACGCAATGACTCTAAAGAATAATGATCACGCATCAAACACACATTCAGACTAAAGGAACCAGCTGTTTGGGAAATGAGAGAAGTAGAAAGTACAGGTATTTGAGTTCAACATGTGAGAAGTAGAAAGTACAGGTATTTGAGTTCAACATGTAAGAAGTAGAAAGTACAGGTATTTGTGTTCAACATGTAAGAAGTAGAAAGTACAGGTATTTGTGTTCAACATGTAAGAAGTAGAAAGTACAGGTATTTGGGTTCAACATGTAAGAAGTAGAAAGTACAGGTATTTGTGTTCAACATGTAAGAAGTAGAAAGTACAGGTATTTGAGTTCAACATGTAAGAAGTAGAAAGTACAGGTATTTGGGTTCAACATGTAAGAAGTAGAAAGTACAGGTATTTGTGTTCAACATGTAAGAAGTAGAAAGTACAGGTATTTGAGTTCAACATGTGAGAAGTAGAAAGTACAGGTATTTGGGTTCAACATGTAAGAAGTAGAAAGTACAGGTATTTGTGTTCAACATGTAAGAAGTAGAAAGTACAGGTATTTGGGTTCAACATGTAAGAAGTAGAAAGTACAGGTATTTGTGTTTAAAAATGTGTAAAAAGACGTCAGAAAAATAAGTAGTGGAGTAAAGTACTGATACCAGAAAAATGTACTCAAGTACAGTAACAAAGTATTTGTACTCCACTACTTCCCACCTCTGCTCTCTAAAGATTGGTGCATTCAGGACCAAACAGCTCCCACTAATTGAAGCAGTGTTAACAGATAGCAGATGTACACGCAGCATTTCCCCTGAGTAACACATTCCAGACTACGCTAATCCATAAAGTAGACTGCCACAAGCTGTACAAGAAGAATAACACATCATGCAACGCAGTCAATTTAACGGGGGAGAGGGGGGGGCCCAGATGCCCACGGATGAACGCCCGCCAACAACCCAGACCTACATTTAATTCACGAGCGTGATCAAAATCTCAATTTACACGCTCTGTTATTGCTCTGCGACAACACTGCTAACTAGAGGATTTACACGGTGCTTTGTGAGGCTGACTCCTCTGATCGGTGTTCACTTTCAGAGAAACAGAAGCATAGATGTGCGACTGGGAACTATTTATATTCTCCAATCCACGATGCATTCAAATACTTTACCATAAATCAACTGGAACCAACTTCCTGTTTTTATTAGGGAGTGTGAAGCTGACAATTGAGCGGCCCAGACCAAGCAAGGAGGCAGAGGCAGCACGTCCCAAATATAACCCGGTGTGGGCATTTATTGCAGCATGAACACAATACACACAGCCTCAATCCTGCTGCTGCTGTTCACGTGGGCACAGCCTGCAGCCACCAGGATCTCACACACACTACCAGCCAAACAGCAAAGCCTAAATGCCCAACCCAATCAACCCAACAGGACACAGGTGAGGGGGGAGGAGACAACACAGGGCACCAGGTGCACACAATCAACGACAGACATGGGGAAAGGGGAACACTTGTCAACAACAAAAAACTAAACAACCCGTAACGGAGGCCGAGATCTATGAGCCCAGAGATCACCTCCGTGACAGGGAGGCAGACAAACTTTTAAGAGTGTGCTGAAGACTTTCCTTTAAAAATAAATAAAAGCATTATGTATATAACAGTTGTTACTGATGTCTTTTTTTTGTTGTGCTATTGGTTGCATCAATCTGTTGGTGGGGGGAGTGTATGTTCGTTGTTTGTACTGTTATGCAATAAAATGCTAAATCTGAATAAAAATACAAATGAAAAAGCATACAGTTAAAGCTGGCTTAGTCAGTCCTACATTTGACTGTATATCATTTTATTGTATTTTTGTTGCCTTTCTGTTGTATTTGATCTCGTTTTATTCCTATCTATTGTAGCTTGTCTCTTCATCATTTTCTTGTAATAGTATATTCTAACACTGTCATCACCTGTTTTGTGCTATATGTGTAAACTAAATATGTGATGTTCCTTTTCTCTCTCTGCAGAAAGACATTTCCATGGAGAAAATGTCCGTCGGTACGCAGCCGGACTCTCTCGATCTCTCTTTGGAGTCCCTGAACAAACTGAACGGCAGCTTAGGCCTCCGCAGGGGGGGCTGCCAGGCCGACGGGGGGAAGAGCGGGGGGGACGGTAGCAAGCTGGAAGAGCCCTCCTCTTCCAGCTTCTCCAGTAGGCCGGGGGGGGATCCAGTGGGCTCCCTCAGCGACTCGCTCTACGACAGCTTCTCCTCCTGCACCAGCCAGGGCTCCAACGAGGTGTAGGGCCCCCCAGGAGGAAGATTATTCTCATCGAGGCCCCTCCTCTAACACCTAGGTCACTTCTGAGTGGTAGATATTGTGGGAAACTGAAAAATCTCACTCGTCACCAGTTTCAAAATCAGGATACATGTATTTATTATCCTCTCAAGAATGGAAGTACTCATCACATACAGAGCATTTTTTACAACTAGAACAGTGTCCTTCAAATGCTTATATACAAGAGAGGGAGTTAAAAAGTCCCAAGATGGAGGGTTCAAAGCAGATGTTTTGTTTTGATTAGCTAAGACCCACGTCAAAAAGGATCATACTTGTCATATGTTGGGCCTTTCTTATCATGTGCTACTCTGATATTGGAAGAGTTCATTCCCAACAGAAACCTTTAGGCAGCCATTTTGATTTGGCTTCACCTTTTTGGATCGGGTCTTCAAGTTTGACTTATTCATGGTGAAGGACTTCAGCCCTGTCCTCTCCACAACACAAAGCACTTGATGAACTTCTAAGCAAACACCAAACCAGGGCTTTAAATACGTGGTGGACTGGAGAGCAATACAAAACGTTGTGTCATCGCAATGTGTTTTCTTCTCATCATTGCACTGTAACAAATACTGTACAGAGTTAGTAAGGAGAGACAGTTGCTGTGATTGCATTCCTGTTTGCTAGGGAACTACATTCAAACCTTTTTATTTGTTGCTGCTAAATGTGGAATCACAAACGATAACCTTGGTTTCTTTTTCTTCCGTGATGCAATACTTTTTACAAATCACAACAGACTTTCATTTTTATTTTTAAAGGTAAAAACCCGTTGCCAATGTTGTCTTTGCGTGTTATTTTGAGCATCAAATGACATGGACATCTTCAGTTTTAGCAGCAGTATGTAATCGTGTTAACTTAAGCAAAAAGCATATTATGTTTTCCTTGTGGCATATTTCCAAAAAGAGAAGATGTTTCAATGTGTGCCCAGGTAAAGCAAAGAGTCATTGTGGGTAGCTCAGGGAAAATACAGACTCGTGTAGATTGTAAGAAACTACAAAACCACTCGGTAATATTCTGCTTTTTTAGATGTTAGAATCCACACCGCTTAGTTTCTACACCTGAACTCGCCAAACCTCAGTTTTCCTTTCACAGCTGTACATTACGTTGTATATAAAAATGACATATAAGTTAATATCAGAATGGGCATTGCTGATTGATATATGCAAATAAGAAAAGAAAAAGATGTACATTATTGCCAATCATTCAAGGTTTCTAAGTCTACCGTTTGTATCTTTTTCTTTAGGGGTTCTTGTTTAAAGCAAAATCTTTATTTTGATCGATAAGAGCTTATACTAAAATATGTTATCACTTTATTTTCAAGACATATTTGAACTTTTAGGTGAAGTTATGCCAAATTTCTCTCTGGAATTTGACCAGCTGGTGCTAATCAACAGAGCCGACTGTGTGTTTCAATTTTTCTATGAAACTGTTAATATTGTATGAAGAGACTTGTGTATTTTTCTAGATGTCCAGTATTTATACCCACATTTTGTACTGTCAGACTGTAGTGTGAGTATCATGCTTCACCTCTCTCCTTAAATGTTCCTTTGTAAAGAGAAATGGTTACCAGCAGTGTTACTTTGGTAATTATTATTAATGTTATTATTATTACTACCGTGTGCAATTCTGTCTGTTACAGCAGACTTTAATGCTATATTTTATGTAACTATTTCCTAAATAAATATGAGAAACTATTTCAAACTGAGCTGCAAGGTGCGTGTATTTTCATTATCAGGTGATTCACTCAGTGTGAGCCGGAGTGCAGCCCGGAGCCCTGTATTCCTGCGCCGCTGCGGAGGGATTTATAACCATTAGTCCCTTGATGGGTAATTAGGTGCGTATTTACGCTATTAGTTTACGCACGCTCGGATGATTCCTCCTCTGTCTGCTTCAGTAATAGGCTCAATATGTTGCATTGATCACAAAACAAACAGCAATAAAACATATGCACATATTTGGTTTATTATTTCATTGTAGCTTTGACGTTAGGGGATGACGTAAGGGGGAAATAAAATGCTCCCTAAGTAAAGTGGTATTTAATAGAGTTTAGATGCGGACTAAAACCAACATAAATAATGTTTTAATATTATTTTTGAAATCTTAGGCTTAAGTCAGTTGTTGCCAACATTGAAATATCATTTAAAAAAAACATATAGCAGTCCATATCTGAATAATGGAAATCCAAATAAAACAATTAAAAAGGCAACAAAAAAGTGACATATATATATATATATATATATATATATACTATTCTTTTTATTATTTAAGATTAATATACTTGAAAACTCTTGATAAAATGTTACAACATCACTGTGTTAACTTAAAGCGTTATAGCAAAAAAGGACCATAACTCCAAATTCAGAAAAGGCATTAGATAAAGGTCACTGACACTCATAATGCAGTTATATTTACATTTAGGATACTTACAATAAGATATTGTAAGGAATAGAGGTGGTTGATATGAATTCACTGAACTTTTCATTCCTCTCCAACAGACACATCACAGAATTATCATTTAAATGTAACTTTTAAATGCCAAATGTGTGTAAACTCACTGCGTGTGGATAAGCTTTGATCGCCATCTCTCTGTCCTCAGTGCATGAAGAAAAGTGAGCGAGATATGAAAATGCCAAGGCTCCCATCATCACGTGGTTTCGCGTTATGATCCGTGCGCTCTGGTTTTGTCTCCAGTTGAGGAGAGATTCTCCACACTTCGCGGAGCTTCCTCACCCCAGCCAGCCGAGAGGATGAACGGATTGGAGTCTGGTGTTCCTCCGCGGCGGATCGTCCTCCATGCCTCCGTCTGAACTAGTTCCTTTGGTCTGATGTTTCCCCTCCGAGCCTCATTTCGGAGAGAATGCTTCTTCTCATTTTTGCGACTTTATTTGGAGTCCTTCTCAACGCAGGTAGGTGCAAGTTGGAGACACTGCGGACACGTTTGGAGTCGTTGTGTCCGTTTGTATGTATTAACACGTGCTGAGATTGTACTAAAGAGATACTTCCTTTCGATTCGTGTGCAAAAAACCATTCTACAAAGAAACCTGATTATGTACTGCATCGAAACCATAGATCGAAACATTATAATTTAAACTGTTCTCGCGATATATGTTTGGACGTGGTTCATTTTAGAAAACAGAGCTTTTTGGAAACTAATTTCTTCTGCGTATGTGCGTAAAAATGGTCTTCCAAATCCACATACAATTTTCACATTTACTGCCTGACTTTGAATAGTTTTGAGGAAACTCAAGGAACTAAGATTATTTTTGGTGCTGGCCTGGGGGGTGCTGTTTTATTTATAACATCATGTTGTGACTAAATTGATTATGGGATTGTGACTAATATATTGGTTTTGCACCCTCATAATGCAGATTGTGTGTGTATATATATATATATATATATATATATATATATATATATATATATATATATATATATATATATATAGGGTGCAAAACCAATATATTAGTCATATATTATGCACCATCTCGTTTTCAAGGGGGTCCCGATATAATTTCTGTTGTGGAAAAAACAAGTAGATTAAGAGTTCTGATGGACCTGATAAACTTGATTCTCCCCTCCACTATTATAGATATTCCCCTAAAAAGAACTTAGTTGTTTTCAGAATCTCCTCCCAAGTGATGGATGGAGTTGCTTGGTTTAAAGTAATTATCCTGGGGTTGTGATGTTATATGTGGACCTTTATTATATGCGTTTGATGGCGCTGTCGGCGTTGAGATTAATGTTTGGTACCATTTCAATAATTACTCTACTAATATATATGTCAGTGGGGACGGATAGCCTGTGTGAGATATTGGAAGAGGGAAAGGGCAGGCTGGACTTGGAAGTTTTTGATTGAATGCCTCCGTATATCTTTTAGAAATTGTTTTATTTTCAGATTCTGATAAAAAATACCATTAACATTCACCATTATGTGTGTACATATATCACGCTTAATGCACAGCGCTCATATTGTCTGCAGAAAATGATCCTAAAACATGATACACATTCATCATTTATAGCGCTTGTATACCATTTTAAAGTATAACAGAAACTCAGATTGGCAATTCTAAGCAGCTCTAAAAGTAACAGATGAAATGTGTGAAAGCTGCGAGGATCTCTGTATATTATCTTTATGAGAAAATGCAGTGACACTCACATTTTACTACCTCAGGGGATGAGATTTCACACGGGCAATCTTTACACCAGCGGAGCGCATCAAATCGTTCTTACTGACGGCTCGTATTGTAAATAGAGCTTTATCACCTATAACGATCCCCACGTTGAAAGGGAAGTTAAAGGAGCATCTGCTGATGTGTTTTTCTTGTAAGAGCTTTACCTCACCTCAATGTGTGAATCCATAACCTCTCTGTTGACTCTCAGAAGACAGCCAATAAAACTAGATTAGACCCGGAGAAGGACTTGCTTATGTACTTTCTCTAAAGTAACAAAACCTCGGCACTGCCCTTGTGCTAGCAGGCGTAATGTCACAGAAGATAGAGAAGATGACATTGCACTCTCATGGAGCGCCATTAGTCTTGTTTGAAGGTGTAACATTATCGAATAACACTCTCTCCCAAAGGCATATAAGAGCCTTGGCTGCTTGACTCGAAGAGAACATAAAGAGGAAAAACAAATGTACAAATTGGGTTCACACAATGTGCCGAGTGAGAATACTGTGTGTCAGTATGAACTCACAAGATACAGGACAAAACTAGTGTATCCTGTCATGAAAGGCAATCATTGAGAGAATAAGGAATAGGTGACATTGACCTCTGGAGTAGTGGCACCTTTAATACACTTAATTCCCTAAAAATAGTGAATTATTTGTACGTATCACAACCCTGATTTCAATGGATCATATTTTGGGAAATACTCTAATTCGCTTCCTTGCTGAAAGTAATATGAGAACATGGATACCACGCCAATTAGCCTAGCTTAGCTTAGCACAAAGACTGAAAACAGCTAGCCTGGCTCGGTCCGAATGAGACAAAATCCACTTCTCAACACTTTCTAGCAGTTTCTCCCTGTTTCCAGTCTTTGTGCTAAGCTAAGCTAACTAGCTTTACCAAACAGAAGAGCGGTATTGACCTTCAAATCTCTGCAACACAGCAAATATGCCAAGCTATTCCTTTAATCAAAATGCTATAGCTACTCTATCTAAGATTTTATATCATATATTTGTCAGCTGTCATCCATCAGAAAACCTCCATTTTGTCTGCTATGTTACAATTGCTCAAACATTTGTCCACTTCCAGGAGATGCCCTTCAGATCCAGTGCTACCAATGTGAGGAGATGAAGCAAAATGACTGCTCCACGCCGGAGTACATCGTCAACTGCACCGTCAACGTTCAGGACATGTGCCAGAAGGAGGTGTTGGTCAAACCCGATGGTAAGGGAAAGACTACTTCATATTCCTTTATGGGATCCAGGAGAGAGTCGTCTAACATTGATATTCAAAGATGTAAATGCTGAGCCAGAAGAGGAAAGGAGGGGATTATCTTGAACTGCAAAAGATAAGATAAAGATAAGATGTACTTTATTGATTCCAATTTGGGAAATGTTTGAGCAGCATAAAAAGACAAGGCATTGTACATAAGAGAAATTAAAAGACTAGAAATAAACAATCCAAAAATCAGACATCTCAAATAGAAATACAATTGCAGTAAAAAAGTTTAAAATATATATGTGGAAATACAAGTTTACAGTAACAAAATATAAAGCAGAATATTATACATATTAATTGTGCAAGGAATGGATTATTAAATATAAGAAAGGTGAACGTCTGGAAACTGGAGAGAAAGCACTTAGAAGCGAAAAGACATTACGTTTATTCCTTTGCTATTCACATGAGGGTACTCGCTCTTGTGTTGATGTGCAACAGGGCAGCTATTAACATCAATTCAGAATCTTCACCCAGGATGAGCTGAGATACAAAAAAATATAGAATGTTTTTCTTTAGACTGAAATCAAGTCATCCACACAGCTTACATAAATGGCAAAATCAGCTGTGATGTTTTTTAAACCTGTTGGTATTTTGAAATGTCAAAAATAAATACTCCCCACCAATGATACCCAATGATCCCCCCCAGCTTTCAATCCCCGCATGTCTGGCAGTCTGACCCCCAGTAGACGCTGACTAGAATCCCCTGTGGTTTTCAGTGTAATGGACATTGTTATCTGTTATTTTGTTCCTTTGCTCAGCCACAAAGATGGAGACGAGAGCATTGATTGATCTGTGGATGGACTCGAAAAAGCACAGTCCTGCATACAAAACATCAGAGTTACTCATCACTTTTACCATGATGCTTTTTAAACTAACACAAAGATAGGCTGTCCATTGTTGGTGATCATTTCGATATGAAACCTCTCTGTGTTTTTGTGTTGCTCTAAAACCCAGACGAGCACTATCTCAGTGGACCACTTTATCCGCCTCATTTGTCAAAGTTGAGAGATTTTCCTTCAGCTGCTACCAGCACAACATTAGATTAGTTTTGCACTGTGTCACAGAAAATTAAATGCTTCAGCCCTTGGCGCTAAGTTTTGGGAATTTGTATGGTGTCCTTTTTTTTTTAACACAAGAGAAATAAATATAAGTAGGGGAGAGTGGGTAGGATGAGCCAGTTATTACTTGAACCTAAAAGATAGTTATTCATTCTATCAAGGTACTTTATTTAGCTACACAAGACCAGTTAACCTTAGCTGACCTACTGAATCATGTGATCTATTGCACACCCTACCTGCTAAACCCTTCTCTCTCCAGCTGTTCGGTACAGGAGTGTTGTTGTTTCTACCATGTTTAAAACAAAAACAAAAATCAATTGTGTAAAACTACATGGTAATACAATTGTATACTACAGAGACTTAACTTAAAGGGGACCTATCATGCTAAATGCACTTTGTGATGTATTTTATACATAAATATATGTCCCCGGTGCGTCGGGGAACTCACGCAGCGTCAGAAAATAAAACCCTCTCTCTTTTCCTCCGTACCCAAATCTTTTAAAAACGGGTGTACAACGAGCGGATACAGATTCCATCCGCTGTGACGTAATAGCGGCGGCGGACCCACAAAACATTGCTATCAGAATCAATGCCTGACGTGTTTTGGACGTCTTTGTTTACATTAGCAAGCCTCGCTAACACTCAGAGCTAACCTGTACTGAAGAGCACATGTGTTTAAAAAGCAGGAAATAAAAAATGGAACTCACCTTGTGATAAACCCGCAAGAAAAAAAGCATTTGAGCTCCATACTGTTTCAGAAATAATCCTTAATGTGGTTTAAACAGGATGGCGTTTTATCACAACCGAATTTAACTTTATTTCCGGTACAATTCTGATCAGGCATTAGCTCCGACTCCTCTTCTTTCTTTTTTTTCAAGCTAAGGACCCAATATCTGCGTTTCTCTAACAGGGCTGCAAAAGAGGGGTTTGAGCAGTATGAGGCATGGCTACAATGGGTGATCTGTTTGGTTTCACAGACATGTTTTAAATAGGTATGGCCCTACAATATATTTTCCAATAAAGCATGATAGGTCCACTTTAAAGGGGATGGCTCATCTTACTCCACTCTCCCCTAATGGATATAAGGATAATGTACATGTTCAGGTGTATATCAGTATGTAGTGTCTCTACTTTAAAGAGTCCTCTCCTGCTGATGTTCAGGTGTATATCAGTATGTAGTGTCTCTACTTTAAAGAGTCCTCTCCTGCTGATGTTCAGGTGTATATCAGTATGTAGTGTCTCTACTTTAAAGAGTCCTCTCCTGCTGATGTTCAGGTGTATATCAGTATGTAGTGTCTCTACTTTAAAGAGTCCTCTCCTGCTGATGTTCAGGTGTATATCAGTATGTAGTGTCTCTACTTTAAAGAGTCCTCTCCTGCTGATGTTCAGGTGTATATGTAGTGTCTCTACTTTAAAGAGTCCTCTCTTGCTGATGTTCAGGTGTATATCAGTATGTAGTGTCTCTACTTTAAAGAGTCCTCTCCTGCTGATGTTCAGGTGTATATCAGTATGTAGTGTCTCTACTTTAAAGAGTCCTCTACTGCGGATGTTCAGGTGTATATCAGTATGTAGTGTCTCTACTTTAAAGAGTCCTCTCCTGCTGATGTTCAGGTGTATATCAGTATGTAGTGTCTCTACTTTAAAGAGTCCTCTACTGCGGATGTTCAGGTGTATATCAGTATGTAGTGTCTCTACTTTAAAGAGTCCTCTCCTGCTGATGTTCAGGTGTATATCAGTATGTAGTGTCTCTACTTTAAAGAGTCCTCTACTGCGGATGTTCAGGTGTATATCAGTATGTAGTGTCTCTACTTTAAAGAGTCCACTCCTGCTGATGTTCAGGTGTATATCAGTATTTAGTGTCTCTACTTTAAAGAGTCCTCTCCTGCTGATGTTCAGGTGTATATCAGTATGTAGTGTCTCTACTTTAAAGAGTGCTCTCCTGCTGATGTTCAGGTGTATATCAGTATGTAGTGTCTCTACTTTAAAGAGTCCTCTACTGCGGATGTTCAGGTGTATATCAGTATGTAGTGTCTCTACTTTAAAGAGTCCTCTCCTGCTGATGTTCAGGTGTATATCAGTATTTAGTGTCTCTACTTTAAAGAGTCCTCTCCTGCTGATGTTCAGGTGTATATCAGTATGTAGTGTCTCTACTTTAAAGAGTGCTCTCCTGCTGATGTTCAGGTGTATATCAGTATGTAGTGTCTCTACTTTAAAGGAAGGGGGGGACCTTTTCTAGTCCAATATGGGGAAACAACAGATAAATACAATAATAAGTAAACCTAAATGATAAAATACCTCCTAAAACACATAAGAAATAACGCCAATATATCCCAGATGGAGATATTTTTCAATGCCGTGTGTACATTTTCTATTTGCACGCGGCATCTACTGCACGTCTGTCCGTCCTGGGAGAGGGATCTCTCCTCTGTTGCTCTCCCTGAGGTTTCTCCCATGTTCCCCTTTAAACTGTGGGGTTTCTTTGGAAGTTTTTCCTTGTACGATGTGAGGGTCTAAGGACAGAGGGTGTCGTATTGTCATACTGATATTCTGTACAAACTGTGAAGTCCACTGAGACAAATGTAACATTTGTGATATTGGGCTATATAAATAAACATTGATTGATTGATTGATTGAGATACATCACTTGATAAGGGAGTTGGTGGCACTGGAGTGCAATAAAAAGTTACAGCAGACTTTACGTTTTCTTCTTCATACAAGCATACAAATTGTTGTAACATATACTGACAAACATCAGATAATAATAGCAGACAGGAAGTCAATAGCTCCAGCCCTGCATTGCAATAACACACATTGCAAACTCTTATAGGCTAACTTTTCAATATAAGCAATATAAATACAGCAGGGGGGGGTACATCACATTGGTACATTTGGCAATATCTCACAGCTTGAGGACTGGACAGTGTCTGCTTTATTTGGAGACTCTTAACCCTCGTGTTCCTTTCCCCCCCGTAACTTTGGTGTCTATTTTAACTGCTGTTTAAACCCTTAATAGAACTCTCTGCTCCATAGCTTCTCTTTGGATAACTGTACACATTATACATTTATTGTAAATTCATCTTAATGTAAATAATGTCCGGCTTTATATTGTGTCTAAAGCCCTTCAATGGTGTTTTATTGTCAGAGTTTATAGATTTGTAATCTTCACGGCCTACTCTATATTTTTTCAACTTTTTAATGCTGCTGTAATTCTATTTTGAGATGTTTGAAATTCTAGCATTGTTTATTTATATTCTTACATTTCTACTTATGTGCAATGCCTTGTTTTTTATGCTGCTGCAATGCAAACATTTTTAATCTTATCTTAATCATCACCATATTTGATTTAACACCCTTTTAGCTGGAAACAATATCTCAGACTAGTGGTTTATATGAATATCTGCAGTGAATATGAATATACAAGGAATAGAAAACGTTTTGTAAAAATAACATTTGTTCAATTGTAAAGAAGTATGGGCTTCGACATGTACTGAAGTAAAAAGTACCCATATCTAGCAGCTGTTTTAAAGAGTACCTGACCTCCCTTTATATTAATAGAACAATAATGTCATTGTTAGCTACTGAATGTTTCCGTGCTGAACAACGGCAACATGACAACGTTTTCATTGGTCCCTCTTCTTTAGAGAAGACCAGGAAATGATGGATACACGGATCGTGTTCAAATCAAAAGGCACGCAATGACTCTAAATAATAATGATCACGCCACCAAACACAGTAGTGGAGTAAAGTACTGATACCAGAAACAAGTATTTAAGGCTATCATAAGGCCTTGAATAATTCAAATGTAAAACACATTGTTTATGATTGATGAAAGTAGCAGGGGCGGTTCTAGGGGGGCAGGGGGGGCCAGTGCCCCCCTAACACTGACCTCTGACCCCCCTGTGGCCCCCCTAACAATGAAACGTTTTTTTTTGTTTTTTTTTTAATGTATATTTTCTGGTACTCGGTTTGCCAAAAACCGCAGGATTTTGTTGCTGTAATGTGAGATTGTGCAGACACCCTTATGTAAAGTACAGATGTAACTGTTCATTGCCTTTATTTTTATATAAATATGGTGTTAGTGCAAAATTGCACTATAACTTAAGCTGAAGCTAACAGTAATAACTATAAGATCTATCTGAAATAAATAAGTGTACTGAAACAAATACCAATAACTGTATTGCATTGTTTTTTTATGCGCAATTACTTCATACTGTCTAGTTCTCTTTTTCGTCCTGCATTTATTGTGCCCCCCTCAGAAAATAACTGGCCCCCCAGTGGCCCCCCCCCCCAGTCAAATTGGTCTAGAACCGCCACTGGAAAGTAGTAAATTGGTCCGATTTGACACCAACACGACAGGAGGGTAAAATATCCCCTTTTTCTGTCTTGCAGGAATACATTATCGTAAATCATGCGCCTCCTCTGGGGCGTGCCTCATCTCCTCCTCTGGATACCAGCAGTTCTGCACCGGCAGGGTGAACTCCGTGTGCATCTCCTGCTGCAACACCCCCCTCTGCAACGGGCCCCGGAGGAAGCGCCCCACCCCCTCAGCGGCGACGTCCAATCGGCCTTCTCTCTTCCTCTTCCTCACCTTCCTCCTGCTGCCGCTCCTCCCTGTGACGTAGGCTGAGGAGGAGCTCTGGTGTACAGTTTGTTTACTTCAGTTCGAAACTATTGCAAGAAAAAAAAGTGTTGATGTCGTTTTTTGTTGATTTAGTTTTCTGTCCAGTTGGAACTTGATTCTACGTTGTCGTGTTAACAGAGGTGATTTAAGGATTCAAAAGATCTGTTCACGACATTCATTAGGGACAGTATAATAATAGAGCTTTATTTGTATGGCACTTTTTAAAGTGACTACATGGCACACATCACAAATTTAAACAGAACATGAAATTCACTTCAGGTCACAAGGAGGTCAAATAGGTATGATAATAACAGTAAAATACAATCTAATTCATTAGGAATATTTTAAAAATAAATAATAAATAAGTAAATAAAACAATAATAAAACCAATATAATAATCATACATTAAATAAATAAGAGGAATAATAAAGATTGATAGACACATTAAAAGAGAATGCCGCTTATAAAACTATAAAATAAATAATATTAATAAAAACCTATAAAACCTATCAAATCTAAATAATAAATAAAAAAATCTAAAAATAAATAAATATTAAAGGACTAATTTAAAGGGGATGTCACTAATAACAAATCTAAAAACATGTGTCTTCAGCTGTTGTTTAAAAATGTCCTCTACAGGATAGTGTTGCCACATATCATATAGTTAAAACATCATATGGAATTAAAAATAGTGCAAGAAGAAATAGAAATCAAATAGTACCAAAGAAGCAAAAATAAATCATATGACCTTAGGTTTGGGCAACAGTAGAGTCAAATCAAACAGGAAGTCCTTGCAGCTTCAACGTATGCTCTTCCTGTAGTAATGAACCTTCCACTGATGATCATTAATGCACATTTGTATTGTCTTAGATTCCCCTTGGAGCTGTGAGGTCCCGAAGGAGCAGATTTGGACACTTTTTAATCGTTACGCCGTGGAGAGAAACTGTCGATGTGATCGATAAAACCCCGTGAGGAGGATGGCGCTTTGAAATCCTGGTGACGGGAAACATGTCGAGCTTTACTGAATCGTTTATCACTGCTGTGGCCGGAGAAGGACCATCCAAATCTCAAATCGTTCCTGTTTGTGAAGTGGAGCGTGTTGTGAGGAAGCGCCTCCGGGCCTCTGGTTATTACATGCTGTAAACTGGTATTGTGGAAAATGATATATTTAAGCTATATTTTGTGGGCTTCTGTTGGTTTTCTCCCTTGTTAATATCGTTGCTGTCATGATGAATCCGGCTTATATGAATTCTCCTGCTGCACATTCATGATCGTATATGCATATTTCCACTGCCGAACAATATTAACTCACTCAGAAATAGGAAAAACGATTTGTTTTATTGATTTCAAAAAGGAATCTGTTGTCCACAAAGCTGATTAGATGATTTAATAATCCATATACTCCTTTGGGAAATGTAATATTAAACGGCCTGTGAGTTGAACTACATTATATGGATATAGCGCAGTATAAGAACATGCTATAAGCACAAACACATTCTCACTAGAGAAATGCTTCAGGGTGATATCACTCATATTTCCTTTTAAGTTAATATTTCTTTGTACTTCAAATATTACAAATATGCCCATCATAGCTTGCATGTTAAAGCTGTAGACCAAATATTCACATTATACACAATGAAAATAAATGTGGCTTAATGTATCTATTCCCATGGCAAAATGTGTTATACTTCAGTCTTAATTATTGATTTTTTGTTCTGAAGTTTTATTTGAATATGTGTACAGTATTATATTTATATGTACAGAATGTGCTGTAAACAAAAACAACGCAGACATTCTCCAACTGTATTTTAATGCAACACGTGACATTATTAATGGTCAAGAAACTGAGGGAAAGCCTTGGTGTACATTAATGAATATAATAAGACTTATTTCTGTTCTGGAAACGGGGAAGATGGACCATGTGATAAATGTTCATGGCAGTTGTTGGCTGGTCTTCTGTGAAGAGTCATTCTGTATTCTGCTGAAATGTGATGTAAATAAATGTTGCAGAAAAAAAGTCGCGAAAGCTCTGATGTTTCCGGAAAAAATGAATGTAATTTAGTAGCTGATTAGACATTGAAACCATGTACATGTATACACTTGTGAATTGTTCAATTAGGCTTTACTCTCTGTCATTTTCCACACATCTTATTATGTTCTGCTGACTCAGGAAAACTCAAGGGGGGGGATGACTTTACCTGGGAAATGAAATCCACCAACGCTGCTGGGGTCCCTGGGAGCCAGTTTGAGCATAAATGTCCCCCCCCCCCCGAACCTTCACACGGCCAGGCTAAGGACAGAGTTATTAAATGAGCTACACTTCAGTATGCTACCATCACTCATTACTCATCTATTGATTGTTTGTCTGTGTTTTCTAATGAGTTTTATAGTGTTTTTCCCAACCTTCTCTTGCTATTATGTATGCATTATTGAGTAAAAGTCTTAAAATATATATCACACATTTTCTTGCTCTTGTGCATTTCAATTATTAGCATATTGACATCGCCAGCCTGCAAAGATAAAAGCCTCACATGAAAAGGAAGATTAAGCTTTTGTCAGAATGAGCAGTGGATGCAGATTAGACATAATCCACTCTGTTATACAACGGTTTTTATAATCACTGTTTTTGTTTTGTGGTGGATTAGGGTAAAATCCAGGTAATTCAGTAAAGATAAGATGAGGAATGGCATGATATGCAGCTCCTTATCTACTAAACCAGGAGGGAAGCTGGATATTCGTAAAGAGCGAGAGAGAGTCCAGTTATGGATATAATGTGTCAGCGTTAAGTGCCTTTCCAAGTAACCATTTTCCAATTATTTCCCTAACAATGCACCGCTGCATTGTTAGAGGCACAATGGAGCATCGCCCACATCACATTTAACATGCACAATAACTTTGCAGACAGATAAGAAATATATTCCAAAAACACAGCCCACATGATGACACGGTTTTGGTGTTTTTAAACCTTGGTTGTGACAAATTAAATTGTATTAAACAGTGTCCTGCAGTGTGAGGGCGCCTGTATGACAGAGCATCAATAAGAACACGGAGGAGGAGGAGGAGGAGGAGGAGGAGGAGGAGGAGGAGGAGGAGGAGGAGGAGGAGGAGGAGGAGGAGGAGGAGGAGGAGGGGCAGACGAAGGGGAAGTGCCGACTGCAGACCTCCTAGGATTAAGAAGCAGCAAAAACGGGAGATTATTAAAAATAATAAGGCCCACCTCTGCCTGCTAATGACGTGGCAGTGGAAAACACTCCAGTTGATGAGGGACCCTAACTCATCTACTTTGTTTACTGTGTAGGCCAAGAGTGTAATCCAAAATGAAGGGGAAATGATCTGGTGAGGGCGGATTTTTTTTTTTTCAGAGGACGTGATCTCCAGAGAGTATGTAATACAGTTCAGCTGTAGACATTAGTTATAATGAACCATTAAATATGAATCATGAATCAAATCTATTAACCACAGCATCAATAGGCTTGTTTTTACTATTCTTTAAATGACATTTCCCATTACATTCAATATGATATCGGCTTTAACAGTTATCCTAAATATGATGATGTAGCAGTGGACCTGATACAAGCTCCATCACCACACTTTATTTTCACTCCAATCCACTTTAGTGCGCTCGCTCACACACACACACACACACACACACACACACACACACACACACACACACACACACACACACACACACACACACAACACACACACACACACACACACACACACACCCACACACACACACACACACACTGCTTTAACATATTTTGTGTTGCATGTTGTTACAGTTAGTGTTCTCTGGTTTGTCTTTGAAACGGGAGCACTGGTGCCCTCTAGTATTCAACACAGTGACACACAGGATGATTAACAGCGGAAGAGACATGCATTTAACACCTATGATATCTCTTAATGTCATATATTACTTCTTTGTATCTCTCCCAGCAAAGATAAGGGGCTTATAAATAAACCAATTTATTGTGGCTGTACTGTATATTGTCTTAGACCAATTCTTACAATCATTACAGGATTGCTCAGTTCAACCAAAAACAGAAGACTAAAGACACCCCTTGTGTTTTGTGCAAATCATTTCATTTTCTTTGAAAGCTTGTGGCAGTTGATGCTCCTTACTGTAGCAATGTGTTCCACCCAGAGTTCTAGATAGAGAGTTTCTGTCAAGTAACCTGGCTTCTTAGAGAGGACTGTTTCTATCAGCGGCCGCAGAGCCAAGGGCTTTCCGAGGAGAGTCGGCGATGAAGAGACTCTTGTATGAGTGATGAGTCTGCCTCAGGACGAAGGGCCAATGTTCTCAGGCCCTGGGATTGGTCTTAATGTGGTTTGGTGCTCTGAAGCCAGGATCAGGCCCTAAACTATCCTTCTGCTCATACATCGTCTTTATCAGCAGGCCTCCATGCACTCATAGAGGGCGAGGACTGGCCTTTGATGGCACCTAAATCACTGATATCATCAGGTGGAGTTAGCAAGGTGAGATGAGGTGGGGTTTCCTTTTTTCTTCAATGTGAAACCACAGACAATATAATACACTGTTTCTTATATTGTAAACTTCAAAAATGATTTTATTTGTATTTTATATGTGTACAGAAATTAGATTTAACATTTATGTCATGAAGTCAAAAACTACAATCCCATTTATTTCAGTATTCTACTCATTGTCAAAGATTTAATTCTAGTTTCAGCACACCCTTAAGCCTCTTTGCATTGACCTTTCATTCTTTGAGTTTTCATTTATTTTGATTTCAGCCTCATTATATTTCACATTCATACTACTTTGTATTTTCCTTGTTGCCAACTTTGCATACTTGTCCGCATCACTAAGCCACCAGGGTGGGTGGAGGGGGTCAGGAGGACAGAACTGAGCTGACCACCCAGGGGCACAGCAGAGGACCAGGAAGGGATCTCGGGCGGACGGCCCGGGGGCAAGACAGAGTCCAAGGTGGGGGTTATGGAGGGACGAAGGCCACCGCGGGCGAACTCAGGGGGGCGAGCATGAGGGCGAGGACCGCGGCCGGAAAAGTCAGGGGGCCGAGCATGAGGGCGAGGACCGCGGCCGGGAAAGTCAGGAGGCCGGGCTTGAGGGCGAAGACCGCGGCACTCAGGGGGCCGGGTTCGAGGGCGAAGGCCGTGGCCCTCAGGGGGCCGGGCTCGAGGGCGAAGAATGCGGCTCACAGGGGGCCGGGCTCACAGGGGGCCGGGCTCGAGGGCGAAGACCGCGGCTCTCAGGGGGCCAGGATCGAGGGTGAAGACCGCGGCTCTCAGAGGGCCGGGCTCGAGGGCGAAGACCGCGACTCTCAGGGGGCCAAGCTCGAGGGCGAAGACCAGACAGCTCCAGAGGCCGGTGTCGGCCGAACAGGAACCGGAGCCGGTGGGATAGGCCTCAGCAGGATCCCCCACGGAAGAGGACCAGGTGTTGGTAGGACCCCCGGCGAGACAGATGATGGCGGGGCCTCCAACGGAACAGGACAAGGGGTTGGCAGTACCTCCGGCAGGACAGGTGATGGCGGGGCCTCCAACTGGACTGGACATAGAGCTGGCAGGACCCCCAGCGGAACCTCCAAAGGCATGGGACATAGAGTTGGCAGGACCCCCGGCAGAAGAGTAGACGGCGGGACCCCCAACGGGACAGGACATAGGGTTGGCAGGACCCCCGGCAGGAGAGTAGTCGGCGGGACCTCCAACGGCACAGGACATAGGGTTGGCAGGACCCCCGGCAGGAGAGTAGTCGGCGGGACCCCCAACGGGACAGGTCATAGGGTTGGCAGGACCCCCGGCAGGAGAGTAGTCGGATATGGCGTTATATTTGTGCCTCTATCCTGAGCACGCAATGAAACATGTTGAGCATAGAAAATGCTATTGAGCGCGCACTTGAACAGTTTTGAGCACAGAGAAATATATGTTCTCTCATAAAACTCCTGCTCCGTGCGCAAGCAGACCACTGCACGCGCTCTCTCTCCCCCGCTCGCTCGACCTCTCCAGCCTGTGCGCGCTCAGCTTTGCCTGCGCTCGCTCAAGTTGTCACAGCGTTACAAATGTGCCACAAAACCAACCAATCGGAGAACTCGAGAAGGTCAATTCTGATTGGATGGTCGTCTCCAATCATATCTTCTATCTGAGATGAGAGAGGGATTTTCAGTTGCCATCAGGCTGTTGACGTTCTTATTACACATCTATCGTTGACATTTACAGGACATGACAGACTCGAATGAAGAGAATAGCACGACACAGTGTCAGGTGAGTAATACATTTCTAGTTTTCTGATATCACGTTATTGTTTGCAATGCCTGAGTTTGCTAGCCGGCAACATAGCTATAGGGGTAGTTTAAGCAAACCGCTAACAAACCATAGCATACATGTAGCTACATGAACCCTTCTGAGGTATTGATTACTTGCTGTAAGCATTAGAGGTGGCAGAATGACAAAACATGTTTTTCTCTCTATCACAATGTTGGGTTGACCAGAACCTGGACCAACTTCTGTTTCCTGTTCTACAATGGGCATATGCTTGCGTTAATTTTCAACCGGACAGATGAGGCTAGGATACCGGCTAAAGTTAGCAACAACACACGTTAACCATGAACAGCCTATTAATCCGTTCTCTTAATGTTATTTCTTCCAACGTTGTGGAATTAGAGAAAAGGGGCTTCTTAACGTGCTTTTATCCGGGGTGGAGGGAGTTACATATTAGTTAAATATAACATTGGGGCGTGTGATTGTAGTGGGTGGAGAAATGAGGATATCCATCTTGGAGTTCAAGCTAGTATAATATAGTTAACGTTACACAATAAGGAAGAGAGCTATTTGTGTGATACATCGCTATTGATATGGATTTAGAGTGGATATTTGAGACTTCTAAACAGTAAACAAAAACGTAACTTATGGGTGAGTGTTTTTAGCAGAGCCATATAATGTCCTTGTGATTCTGTTGATTATTACCTGTCTGTATTATGTTGCAGCTCAGCTGATTTTGGATTGATGGCAAAGGGAGAGGGACTTAAGTGAGAGTGAAAACACAAGGTAAGATTAAAATAGGTCAGCAATTTCCCACCCTATTGCTAGATGTATCTAACCCTTTCTCCTGTCTCCCTCTCTCAGCACAAGAACCCCAGGGGGATTCAATGGAGCCTGAAGACCTGCAATGAGACCCTCACCCTGCACCTGAGTCTCAACTCCCAGAGTTTTGCAAGCCTCTCCCTGTTCTTTATTTTGATTAAACAGACGTTAAGCTTCCCAATGGTGTGGTCTTCGTTTTGTGAAAAATATGATTACCTCACATATGTTGTTGCTGTTGTTGTCTTTTGTGATAGTTAAATTGCTCCTGCTGACTTGAGCCAGCCATTCTTTCCTCCTCTCTGTGTCAGTGGGGAAACTTTGCATTCATACTCTTTTCTCTGAGCGCTTGGAGCATCCCTAGGCAGCACAGCAAACCATGGGGGAGACGATATGCCA